ACCCAAATGGTACTCCACACCCTTAACTTGAACCCAAGTCATTCTTTTGAGACCAAACATTTGATTTGCATGAGTGAGGCCTTCTTTTGATAGTTTGTCATGTGAAAAATCTTGAGAGTATTGGAGGCGACATAGGATTGTTCTCATCTCTTGCTAGAATAGGAACCTCTTTTGAGCTAGCATCTAGGATGGTGGGTGGGTTTATGTGTTCTAAAGTTAATATCTTGGGTTTTGAATGAGAGATCATGAGAAAGTTTAAACAAAGTGTGTCTTGAGAAAAGAAGAAAGCCATTGGGGACTAAAAGAAAGAAAAAGAAACTCTAGATTGTGTATTAAGGAACCCTTCCCATAAAAAAAAAAAAAAAAAAAGAAGAAGAAACAAAGAAGTTTGGGGGAGGAGATGTGTAAAGAAGAAGAGTTGGAGTTACAAAGTAGAAAGTTTGTGATGAGTCCCTAGTTGGTTGTGCTAAAATAAATAAAAAAAGAAGAGAAGAACTTGTTCATTGGGTGAGTGATGTGAGTAAAGGTTATTTGGGGTATGAGATGAAGAAAGAAAGGGTTAGAAATTGTGATCACTTAGGAGAAGGGTAGAATGATGAGAACAAGGCTATGTATGTATCAGTTGCTTCTAGTCTTAGATAAATTTTGCATAATGATCAAGATCCCTCTGTTCTTGAGTGATAGTCACTAAAAATGATGTATTTGAACCCTCTTCTTCATTCTCATTAGACATGTTGCTTGCCTAGCCAAATGATTGAGATCATGTGCCCATTTGTGAAACTTCACTTTGTGTGTGTGTGTGTGTGTGAACTAATGTGAGGGCTGGTTTAAAGACTTGTAAATTGAAAAGTATTGCATCTTGTTTAAAGGCATAAGAGGGTATTGATAGGCCTAGAGAAGCTAGAGTGTGATAAGAAAGTGTGCTCATGGTACTTGGAATGTCTCTTTAGGATGTTAAGTTGATCTCTTAGATGTGTTTCTCTTGGTTATGAGTTACCACCTTCAAACCTCTCTTTCCATAAGTCCTTGAAAGTGCACTTGAGGACAAGTAAAGGACAAGTTTGGGGAAGTTGATATGTTGCATATTTACTTGGTTTTAACCTTGCATTCTTGTCCATGTTGAGCATATAGATTAGATTGAGGCATTCTTAGGTTGCATTTTGCATTCATTTGTCTTTATCAGGTGGTGGAACATGCTGTGGAGTTCTTGGAGGTGTTTGGGATCAATTATGTGCCAAAAGAGAGTGCAAGGATGTCATTTGGCGAGCCGGAGCAGCCACAAAGGAGTCAAGAGGTCGCTGCAAGCAACACCAGCCGGAGCGGGGTCACGGGGCGGAGTCAGGGGATCGGCCCAGACCACAGCGGACCCACGCAGCGGGGCTATGGGGCCGCTCGGCTTTTCAACAAAACGGAGAGCTTCCCAGCGGTGTGCCGCAGCGGGGTTGCGACTCCGCTGGGAGCTTGGCACGGGGTTTGGCAGCGGGGTTGTGACCCCGCTGTGCGTCTTTTATGTGGCGAAAATAAGACTTTGAGGACCTTTTTGCAATTTTCGTCTTTTATGTTTTGAGTTTCAGAAACCCAATTAAAATGACGTTGTAAGCCGTTTAGGCAGATTATCTTTTATTCTTGAAGAAAAACATCTTTTGGATTGAGATTTCATTGCTTTCATATTGTGTTCTTGTTGATTTATTATCTATTTCTTTACATGATTAATCTAAAAGCCAATATGGGTTTAAGAGGGATCATGGAAATTAGTGAGTAATCACCTTTTGAATTCATGGGTTAGGGAGATTAGGGGTGATTAGGTTAGATCTATCATGTTTTAGTGTTAGATTTCTCTTGTTCCTTGCTTATGAGAGTAACCATAATGCATCTTTTGAATTGATCACTCAAAGGTTGATCTCTAGACATTTCCCACTCACAAAGTGTTCGATGAAATGTCTGAGTCAGCTCTCTTAAGATTTTAACAGTCTTTACCAGGGACACTTGTTGTTAAAGGTGTTAAGATGGCTAATAGATATATTCCTAATGATTACTTTCATAATATTCAACCAAAGACATTTGATGCTTGAGTTATGGTAGTAAATGAACATTCATCTAGACATAGAGCTTGTTTAGAATCGTATCTAGGCCTAAGGTAGGCAGTCTAATTGATCGCTTGCCATCCTTAGATCGAAACTTGATCATCCAAGGTCAAATTCTCTATACCCATGAGTTCTCTTTTATCTTCATTGTCAAAGTTATATCTTTTATTGCATTCTAGTTATAGTTAACCTTAAAACCCAATCAATCACATGATCGCACTTAGATTAAGCTAGTACTTGCATTCTCGGTGCTTTTAAATCCCTCAGAACTGGTTCGACAATCATCTATACTACAACATTTGCCTTAGGAGCCTTGAAAACACATAACATCAAGTAATTTATAGTCGTTTCAAAAAATTCTAAATAGAACATATTAGAAAAAATCTATTTTTAACTATATGCTTAATGTGATTGTTTAATTACTTTTAATAATATAAAACTAAACAAAAATAGAAAGGAAACGCAAATTATTATCAAATATGTATTATTCATAATCATTAATAGTCAGATATATATATTAATCATATTAGGTAACTCCGTAGCTTTTATCTAAGGAAGGAAATAATATTCTTTTGTACACTAATAACTAATTTGATAGTTAGTTGAATAAAAAGTATAATATATAATTATATGGACCAACTTATTTTTATAAGGATTCTGAGAATTATCATGGTGATGACACGTGACTACGAAAAAATGTTGTAATGTTCTAGGATTAATACATAGGGGATTTCTGTATTCTTATAACAAAAAAAGAAATAAAAAATTGTTCACAAAATTTTCATTGTAAGACTTTTAACAATTTTAGTAATTTTTAGTCGTTTTAAAAAAATTTAATATAACATATAAGAAAAACTATAGATTTTTTATTATATGATTAATGCGATCTTTTATTTTTAATAATATAAGTTAAACAAAAATGATGGAAAAATATAAAAACTATAATCAAATATTTATTGTTTACAATCATTAATTATCATATATATGTTAATCATATTAGGTAATTCTGTACCTTTTACTTAAATAAAGAATGAAGAATATTCTTTATGTACTGCAAATAATTTTGATAGTTAATTTAATAAATTTTATATTTAAATGGATCAATATATTTTTCTAAGAATTCTAAGAGTAATCCTGGTGATGACACTTGGCTATACTTAAATGTTGTAATGCTCCAGGATTAATATATAGGGGATATGATATAATTTTGAAATAACCAAATATCTAAGTATAATTTATAAATTGAATATTTGTAATTTGTATCCCAAATTACCAAAAATAATATCAAAAACTTGAACCAAAATTACTAAAAAAATTAAACTAGAGTCCAAGATTATTGTAAGCAACGTTGGTCCTGGTTTAGTTGAGAGACTTGGTTACTATCAAATGCTTTTTGGATCCAACTTGGAGACAGGAGAAAACGTTGAAGAGGCTGATGGTGCTGTTGATGGTAATGGAGGAGGCAGTTTAGCATTATTACAAAGTAAGAAACCATTGTTCATTTTAGGGATTCTTGTATTTTGTTTGCTTTTAAAAATTCAACCTTTTTGATCTTGGAAAAACAGAAAATATTATTTCTTGCACTATGTAAGAAAGAACAAAGGGACCATCTTCAGAGGCTTTTAGAGATTGTAGACATAACACAAGTTCATTCGTTGGACCTATGGGCAAAAATATTTGGATGCATTGGGAAGTTTCATTAGACTCTGTTGCGATGATGTTGATGATGTTAGTCTGAGCACTACGAGAAAGTGGTTTGATTCTGTTTCTCTCAAGGGTCTCTAGAAGCTTTGCTTAGTCAATCATCATCTTGGAATTCAAAGAGGAGATTTTACTTCTTAAAACTCGAGAAACATTTGTTGGGTCACCGATGAAAGCAAGAACATTTAGTTATAGTAACGATCGAGCTATAGACTGTAGCTACCATCTACATTCTCTTCTACTGAATTTTTCTTCACTACTTTAAGCCTCCCAAAGATTTGCTGTTTTTGATCAGTTGTTTCTGGAATTCCTAGAGACGGAGCCAACCGAAGTGTAGCTATGGATGGATTTGTTAGGATATATGAGAGAGGTGCTCGGTTTTGTTCCTTAAAGAAAATGTCTAGATTTTCTCTTAGCTAGAGGTATCTGCAGCGCTTCCTTGCAACGTCCTTAGCTTTCTGAGGCAAGTCACTCTCTTTTGTTCTTGCACGTTTACATGGTTATATGGTTTATGGCTTGGCGGGATGTATCAGGTTCTACTCGTAGCAGGAGATTTGGAAGGTGCAAAGACATTTGGTATAAAAAGCAAGATTGTATATTCTCAAACACACGGAAAGAAGAAACCGACAAAGAAAATAATTGTTTACCCAAAGAAGTAGGAAAAGATTGGCTGGTTTGAACACCCTTTGATGTGACTTTATACAGATGAGGGTCTTATATCTCATCCTCACATGACTGTCTAAAGTTTCCTGTCCATCCTAAAGCTTCATGTAACAGATCGATTACTAAGTCTGCAAGGTACTAAACCGCTGATCTTTGCAAATTTTTGAATCCAGTCAAGCCAACTTTGATCGAATGGTAGACAAACGCTAAACGAATGGAAGGTTTACCATATGCATTCTTTACGCTTGTAACTAAACATACAAAATAAGTGTAATGTTAAAATTATGGGCTCGATAACTAACATTCTGTACTTGTACAACAATTTCCAAAGAACCAAACAAGAACTTCCACTACTTCTGAACCTAAAACATAATAATTGTTCATAGTGCATGTATCTGCTTGGCATTTCATTCGGGTTTCTTCATATTCAGGCAATTATCTGCTGCTTGTCCAAATAGCTCGTGGGCTTGTTTTAACTCCTTCTCTGTCAACAAACAAGGTTACACATCTTTAGAACTTCTCAAAGTCAGGATCATTTGCAAGCAATTAGAGAGAACAAAAACCAGTTGAAGAGCAAAGTTGGCCAGGGAAAATGGAATAACAGATCCACTAAACATCATCTAACCTGATTAGCAGCCTTGACAAGATCGGCACTGAGCTGCTTAGGTTGCTCGGGAGAAGCAGCCGTAGGATCATCAATTAGTTGTAGCATCTCGTTGGAGTGTACCGAAAGCATTGAAAGTGATTGCGGCTATGGAATTCACTTCTTCTTGCAACTGTGATATTATTATATCCATCTTTTAGAAGACAAAAGCAAATATATAACTTTGGGACAAGATATACGAGATTCCCATGGCTCAAAATTGGCACAAAGCAAATATAGAACTCTCAGTTCATATTTGCATCTATGAACTGAAGACAATAAATTCTCGGGTTGAGTGTTTGGCGACGACAGAGGATCGCCGCGAGGGCGTTTTGATTTCCTTCTTGTTTGTCTCCGTTCGGGATTCTGACCTGGGCTAACTAAATCTTTTCATATTTCCTTATTTTTTAATTAAATACTCAATCTGAAAAACTAAACCATTACCAACCCAGTAAAAACATGATTATCCACATAAACTCATTAGTATTTTTTAACAATTATTTAAGTAATTTTAGTAGGTTCTCTCTGGCGATGGCGACTCCCCTTTTCTAGGGTTTGATGACGATAGAAGATTGGGATCCGGGTGTTTCTGGGGGGATTTGGTATCGAGGAGATCTATATCATAATGAAGAGATCGGGAAGATCAGAAGGACTTTTATCCGATTTGGTTTTTTGGCAACAAAGGTCTTTGGAGAACTCAAGAATGGATTCGGGGAGATTGGAGAAAATCCATGGCTATGGAGAGGGATTCGATCATAATCTCGGAAATTAATGGGGGATCATATCATCATATTTTGAGGTAATCAACCTGTCCTCCTAAGGTCAAGGTGTCTTACGAAGAATCTGGGATTTCGGGATTTCACAAAACAGTGTCAAATATTTGGGGATCTCAATGTTTTGATATTGTATCACATTTTTAATGGAATTTTGGCAAGGCGGATTGGTTTTGATGATTTCCGATCTGGAAGTATATTCATCAATCAATGGAAATATGGTTTTCATGGTGATGATATCAAAAGCGGATATTGTGGAATATGGTTATCTTATAAAATGGGCGATGGGGGTTGCTTCATTTTCATAGCTTCACGATTACATCTTCTTCTTCTTATTCACTATATCTTTTTGTTTCTGCTGTCTAGAGTTATGACTCAGTCCCAGCTCTTACGAAAGGCGGAAGATATGAAAGCAGGAGAGGAGATTCTGAAGAGGTTGAAGATTTCAGTACTCCATTTCAATAACTATGATTTGATCAAGAGTTACTCTCAAACTTTGATTGGGAGATGTGTGAACCCGGAGGAACAAAAGGTGGAATCTCTTTTGGTGATGCTGCCGAAGATATGGAAGGTAGAGGAGAGGGTCGTTGGTACTGACTTGGGAAATGGAAAGTTCCAATTCCATTTTCATAAGGAGGAGGATCTTGTAGCGGTCTTGGAGATGCAGCCTTATCATTTCGACTATTGGATGCTGGATCTAGCTAGATGGCAGCCAAAGATATCGCGGTCTTTTCCATCTGAGATACCATTTTGGATTTCAGTAGTGGGGGTCCCTGGTGAGTTCTGGTCTGCGCCAACTTTTCAGAGTATTGGTGATGCAATAGGGGAGACAACGGATGTTGACCTGGATTATGGCAAAATCAGGATCATAGTTGATGGTTTTAAAGAACTTTGCTTTGACACATCGGTTGATTTTACAGGTGGTGAATACTATGAGGGGGAAGAGGCGCCGTTAACTCTTAAATACGAGAAATTGTTTGGTTTCTGCAAGCTTTGCTCAAGCTTGTGCCATATGGAGGATTTCTGTCATTTGAATCCTATGAAGAGAGTTAAAGCGGAGGTGACATTTAGGCCAAGATGATCGTTCCAGGAGCTATAAGGGGGTGGTTATAAACAGTGATGGAAATACACAGGAGAATGGAAAAGAACAAAGAGGTTACCATGGGAAAGGAACAGGGAAGATGCATGAAGAGCATGATGCTAATTGGGTTCAGATTCCTGTGCGAGGAAACAAACGTTCCTACTCAAACCGTAACAATACCAGAATAGAGGAGGGCAACTCGAGGGATATGAGCTCTCACTGGGAGCAAGCAAGGAGGTCGACATATGAAAATAGGGACTGAAATCATTATGTCTCACGACATGACAGGCGATCATTGGATGATGTTAGGGAGGAACCGAGGGAGGAAGGGGAACTCTCTGAAAGAAGGAATGCTCGGAGGAGTCTTCAATTTGAGGATAACAACACAAAAGGCTCACAAGTGATGCAGCAGGAAGCAAGTGATGTAGCTAACAACTTGATTGAGGTAACTTCACAATCACTACAAATAGAGGGTGATTTAAACATTGATATGGCTAAGGTGAATACTGATGATGGCATTGAGTTGGCGAAGGTTGTGACGGAAACTGGGATGTTAGATAATCAGGTTAATGTTTTGAGGACCGAGGAAACTAATGGTGACATCAAGGAGCATGAAGGGTCAACTTTAGGTGAAGCTGATGACGAGTTTCAGGATTTAACTGATGGAGAGGAGGAGGACATGAGTGGGGTACAAACAGAACCGGCCATGGTGATGGAGGACATGGTACGTCCTGGGCATGCAAAGGAGAAGGAGATACTAGCCGGGGAGGTTGAAAAAAAGAAGGGTGCTCGTAAAGGGCAGTTCAGGCACTCGGTGATGGCAGCAGGAACTTCCAAGAGAAGGTTTGTTCAGGCTGTTTTGTCCCCACACAAAGGGGCGACGGTGAAGACTGGAAAGAGGCAGGGAGAAAGTAATCGACAGATGGAGGAAAAGGGACCTTTAATCCCAAAGACAACCTCTTCAAAGGACTTGCACTAGTTTATGGATAAGGCTGGCATGAAAGAATTATGTTACTTGTTTCTTGGTTTTGGTTTTGGTTTTTTTTAATGGTGTTTTCTTAATAAGTTTTGTGAGCAAAATAGATGGTATATCAGTTGTTTTCCTATGTGTCCTTGGTTGATGGTCTGATCTCATGATTTGAGAATGGTGATGAATAAAACAATTTTAGTTGGTTTTTATAGTTCTCCTGTTCAGATTATTTGGATACATGTTTCTTTTAGACAGGTTGTATGGTTCTCCTCCTCTCGGTTTACCAACATGGTAACATTGAGAGTACGAAGACTGCTATTGGTCTCCTTAAACTATATGCAGTTGCCAGAGGAGTGGATATGTTTGGCCATCGGGAAGTTGCGGAATGGTATCAGAATAGTCTAGTATAAGGGGTTCGAAAGGAGGTTAAGCTATTGTTTAAAGGTTAATGATAGGATATGCAAAATTCCTAACGGCTGGGATTATATTATGGGTTGTATAAGAGTTAAGATACTAAGAATTCTGCCACTGAAGGAGACTCAACCTTTTTTTTGTACTGATAATTTTAATTATATGGGGTCAGTGGGCACAAGGTTTAAGTGGCTCGAAATATGGCCGGAGTTTGTTCCGATTATATGGTCTTTTGGTATAAACAGAGTTTCACATATATTGATATTCTGTATAAAGATTTGGATTAATACAAATCTTCTTGGGTTCCAAACGGGGTCTCTTCAAACCCATGCATATAGCGTTTCTTCTTTCAAAATTATTTTATGCGAGTACTAAGTTGGAATTGTAGAGGATTGGGGAGTAAATGGAAGATTAGTTATTTAAGGGAGATATGGCACAAGCATAAACTAGATTTTCTTTTTTTTATCGGAAACTAAACAGGATTATGATTTTGTACAAGGTTTTCAAGCGCATTTTGAATATTATAATTTGGTTACGGTGGATCCGGTGGGCAGGAGCGGGGGTCTTGCTCTTTTCTATAACAATGGGTATCAAGTGTAGATTTTATATTCTAGTAATCGGATGATTGATGTTGATGCAGTGGCGAGAGGGAAAAAGATTTTCCTAACCTTTGTGTATGGAGATCCGGTACAGGAACTACGGGAACAAGTATGGGAAAGATTAACTCATTACGGTCTCGCAAGATCAGATCCTTGGTTTATTATTGGTGATTTAAATGAGATTACTGGTAATCATGAAAAGGAAGGGGGGGGGTGTTAAGAATTTTGGCATCCTTTGTTCCTTTCAATAATATGATTAGGAATGCTGGGTTAATAGAGTTTCCGACTCGAGGAAATAAAATGTCATGGCAAGGACGTAGAGGGAAAGGAACGGCAGCGGTGATGGTCAGATATCGTCTCGACCGAGCACTAGCAAACGAAGAATGGCATACCGTATTTCCATGTTCCTACACAGAATACTTGGGGATGGTTGGTTCGGATCATCGTCCAATAGTGGCACATATTGAGGATAAAGTCTATAAACGGAGAGGACATTTTCGGTTTGATAAGAGATGGATTAGGAAGGAAGGTTTTATGGAATCCATTGTTACCGGCTGGACAGAACAAAATAATGGCCAAGTTGTTGATTTAGTCACAAAAATTAGTAATTGTCGGCATGAGATAGCAAGGTGGAGGAAAGATAATCCACCATATGGAAAAGAGAAAATTTAGGATCTTCAAAACGCTCTTGAGGAGGTACAAATGGATGATAATAGGACACAAGAGGACATTTTGGACGTATTTAGGAAATTACAAGATGCATATAAGGATGAGGAGGATTACTGGTATCCAAAGAGTCGGAATATGTGGTATTCCTCGGGAGATCTTAATACCAAATTTTATCATGCTTTGACAAAACAGAGACGGTGCGTAACAGGATTGTGGGGCTGCATGATGAGGTTGGAAATTGGATAACAGAGGACAATGGGGTGGAACAAGTGGCAGTGAACTACTTTACAGAGTTGTTTACGTCTACTTCACCAACTGAGTTTGATAGTTTTCTAGCGAAATTCCGGTCAATATCACCACTCAAATGAATCAAAGGTTGCTGAGAATGGCCACAGAGAAAGAAGTTAAGCAAGCTTTATTTATGATGCATCCAGAAAAGGCACCAGAACCGGATGGAATGACGGCACTTTTTTTCCAACACTCATGGCATGTTATTAAGAAGGATTTGGTAGAAATGGTAAATAAATTCTTGATTTCAGGAGTACTAGATGCTCGTTTAAATATCACACATATTTGTATGATCCCAAAAA